GAGTCACCTACAAAATCCCATTGTCCAAGTTTTGCAGTTTGAGCATTTACTATCACGACATTTGTTGTTGTTGTTATAGTTAATATTAAGCTGATTAATGAAAGTATTTTCATACTTTTTTTTTTTGTAAAATAAGGAAGGAGTGAAATGAATAAATGAGTGAATGAATAAAGGAAGGAGTGAATAATTAAAGGAAAGAGTGAATAAATAAAGGAAGGAAGGGAGGAATAAAATATTGAAATTGAAATTAAATTAAATTGAAAATTGAAAAATTTTTGGAATTGAAACTATAAATGAAACTAAATAATGTAGTACAAATAATCAGGCCATTCACGGTTAGTGGGTGAACGAATCACACGGGTCGTTGTTAATATATTTACTATATTAATATTTAAATATATTTGTCAAATTCGATTTCTAAATTTAATTGTTACAACTAAATATTGCTCGGAGTTACTTCGGAATAATCTATTATTAACATTGTGAATAGGAGAATTAAACAATCTCTACTTTGGTCATAAAATTCTTTACTCCACAACTCAACATTACAAGTTTTATGCTCATCATTAATGCTAAATTTAGTAACGAGGATGATGTGAAGACGAAAGAAACTAGGTCACATGCTTAAAATACGATCTGCCGAGACTTTAATATTTATATTTAATTAATATTAAATATTATACTTACTTATTAATTAAATTAGTGGAACAAAAGATACTTGATTTTTCAAAAGGAAAGATCAACATAAAAGTTTATTATACAACAGGTGATTATGTTGTTAACTAACTAGTTAATTACAGTCAAACCTTGTCAGCGGATGAACGGGACAAGAATTTAATTATAGTCCGCTATGGAAGAGGTCCGCTGTGACCAAGGTTCGGCTGTAATTAATTGTTTAATATTTCAGTGCTTCGCTCATAAGAACAAGAGCAAGAATTAATACTAAATTATTTCTTTTCTGTTCTGTAAAAAAAGCATTTTCACAACTAAATGATTTAATAAAATAAAATAATTCTTTTTCACTTGATAAAACTAGTGATGTCGGCCGGCTAAGCTGATTTGGCTTAGCTTGGCCGGCTGATTTCCTTTTTGTAAGAAATTTTTCTGGTACTTCTCAGGAGTCAACCTTATCATTGATAATCAAATAAAGGGCGGTCAAGTCTTTTTGATATCAAACAGTTGACAATTTTATTAGAGATTGTTTAATATTAGGTACTACAAAGTAATGTTGTTTGACGAAATGTTACCAAAGTTGTAAAACTATTACGTCAAACTCGCTGCCATTAAGTCAAAAATGACGTAAGCAAAATTGCTTTAAAGGTTAGTAAAATATAAAAGTTCACAAAAAAAACTTGTATATTCCAAGATCTTTTTTTTTTAATCTCTCCTTTGTTTCATCAGTTATTCCCAAGGAGCCAAGTTTTTCTTTTGCTGAACACAAACTCATTCATTTGCCACTAATCTCGAACATTTCTTATATCGATAACGTGGTGCATTATAGATAAAATCATCAATAAGGATTCGACACTTTATGTTCCAGGGTCAACTAATTTTAGTTATCAAATGAAAACTTTACGCAAAAGCTATGGAAGCTAGTTTTATCTTTTAATTTTCGTGTTACAATATTTTGAATCTCTCGACCAACTTTGGTAATGATTTTCTTTTAATGTAATATGTTCGTTAAACTTTTTTGTAGTAAAGAACTTTTATTTATTAATAAAAAAAAGGAAATAAATAAGTCAAATAAATCGAATGTATGTTGTAGAAAATATTCTATGAAAAAAAAGTTGTTACACGAAATTTACTTAGTCTCAATTTCTTAAGTGTATAACAAAATTTGGAATTTTCAAAATGCTAAGGCTCAGCCAATTTTCAGTTTAAGAAAAAACCAGCCAATAAGTTTTGAAGCTTGAGTCATGAACAATAAAACTTATCGGTTAAATTTTTTAAAATGATATAATTTTTGATCAATTGTTACTATAAGCAATTAATGATTATAGATGATCTGCACCGTATTTTTAAAATCCGATAGTTTTCAGACCTAAAAGGGTTTTTTATAAATGATCATGACCGTATCTATACTGCTGGTGAAGGACTTGGCCTCCAATTTTGTAATCCGCAGAAAAAGTTTTATACATGATGTTATTTAAAAAGTTCGTGCATTATTGAGGCCATAAACCATCGAAAAAATCTAATCATTCTATATTCCAAAAACAACAAAGGCACTAACAGTGGTCTATTAGAAAAAATAACGCTATCGATAAGATCAAAGAGTTTAAATTTGAATTTACTTTTATTCTCAATGGTCTTGAGCTTATTGTAACAATAACAGTAATAATGGCCATAGCAACAACAGTAATAACGCTGGCAATAATAATCATCATCATTATCATTATCATTCAGAGAAAATGTTAATAATAATAATAATAATAATAATAATAATAATAATAATAATAATGGTTCTTTACCTCTTCAATCACCGGTTTCACAATTGAAAACCTCTTTTTTATGTGAACGGTTTGAAACTGATGAACAGGTTGTATCTAGAATATTGTAACGGATTAGGTTGTAAAGTAAAGTTTCAATATCTAAGGTATATAGACGTACCAATAGCAATATCAATAGGTATACATATCTTTGCTTATGTATTTCCTTAACATATTTGGAGTTCCATTTTTGATCGGATACATACATTGTTGACAATCAGTTTGCAATCAGCGATAATATCATAAGGGAATTCCATAAGAAGATCATCCTCGGCAATATCATTTTTGGGAATATCATCATGAGCCTGACAACATGAATGAATAAGGAAGTAATCTTCTATTTTTATCCGCTTGAGATCTTGTCTATTATTCTAAAAAAATTAAATCGCGAAATAATTAGTTCTGCCAGCTTCTACAACTCAAGCAAAAAATGCAACATCTGTAATTCTTCATGGTCTTCTTTCTGTCTTTTTACATCTAAAGTCTCAACCATAGAGCTATTCGTAACTTGGTGGAAGTGAATCGAAGGTCTACCAACCAACTTATGAACCTTCTCCCATCGTCTTGCAACTTGAAATCAGATTGAGGATCATCCTAGATAGACGATTTGAGGTATTATTAATATTCTCAACTAGCATGTCAAAAATTTTCTATTTGATTTTCTTTTCATCAGATAGACTAAGAGACTTTAGCATAGCCAAACTAAGAGATTGCCTGTGTTCTCAAACACTAGTTCTATGACAAAAGAAACCGAGATTCTCGCCACACTATACTACTTTTCAACTACATTTCCAACAAGAAAATTTTTGCTTGTTTTCTGATAATATTTTTAAAAAAGCCATTTCGACTTGTTCCTTGCTCAGAGTTAATAATATATTTGAGGCTTTTCAGATATAAGTCTATCTTCAGTTGGAATGGTTCTTCGTTGCTTTCGTTTAGAAAGCCTGTAATGCTCCATTTATTATGTTTTTGATTAAAATATTCTACTGTAGCATTGGACATTTTATTGCGAGTCGTCATTTTGAAATGAGAATAAATTTTTTTAACTTTTTTGTAGGTTTCGAATGTAATCAATTTCAAGTTGATGCAAGAATATATACTGTATATACTTTGAAATAGTTATCATAAAATCATCATATCTGTTGTAGATTTAGTGTTAACAATAAGCTTACACTTGTTATAAAATGTTAATAACAACAATCTATTGTTTATTATTATTATATAGACGTTCTTTAATTAATATATTTATACGAGTTAGTAACATCATGACATATTTTTATGTACAAGTGACCTGAATTTAATGTACTTTCAAAACAATTCTCTTAATAAAAGAGTATAGTTAACATTCAAATAATTAAATCAATGTCCTAAAATATTTGTCAGTAAGATTGCCTATTTAACCTGATCCACATATACATATAAAACAACTTATCATCTTTTTTTTTGAAAAAATATCTGTTGAAGAAATCACAGAGATTGATAACCATTGTAGTAATTGAATATTATCAAACCTCCTGTTTAGTACATTGTTCCCCTAAAAAGATATATATATACGTGTGTGTTTAAATAAATAAATATCATCCAAGAATTTAAAAAACTTGATTGTAATATATACAAAGAAATAAAATAATAACATTTACAAGATTTTTATTTAAAGATTTATTTTATTATGAAAAATTAAAGTTAAAATACTTACCAGCTGGTTAGTTCTAAACTACCATTTAATAATATCTGTAACCATTGTAATAATAAATAATAATAAAATTATCTATAAAAGTAAAAATTGTTAACATGTAAAGCATAGTGGAATCACATTTGGAACAACTAGTAAAAAGGACAGTGTGTAAATTCTACCAATTTTTTATTTCATTTTTTAAATTTAAAATAAGTTATACACTAAAGTGCTTAATTATAACTTGCTTTTTTTTACATTGATATATTGCTTCAATTTTGGTAAAACTTATCTATTTAGACATGGGTAGTTTTAAATAGTAATAATCATCCAAAAGGATCATCCACCTTGGTTATATTATTAAAGTATTTTCCAGATTATTTTAATATAGGATCATGTATATATACAACAAAAATTATTGCGAAATGGTGATGAATATATAAACATAATCACTGTTAGAAATAGGACAACTTCTTTATATAATAGAAGATCAGTTGGTATATAATTTTTTATTATATCTTTCAATTATTGGGCATCATGTGTTTGGAGAACCAATTTTTTTGTAAATAATCAACTATGTATATTTATTACTAGCAATAAACACAGCAAAAATTGTTCACTACAATGTTTTGCCTTTTGATTTCGCTCTTGTGCTTCCCAAAAGGTTCATTTTAATAAAGCAAAGGAACAAAGACTATTTTGATATCAAATTCGAAATTTTCATATTAATATTTTTTAATATTAATTTTTAAATATTTAAAATGTATAATATATAAATATATAAAATAAAAATTTCTTTCGCGTAACCAAAATAAAAAATAAAATAATAATAAATACGATGAATGACTAGACATTATAACTCAAATTCTAAAAAACAAGCAAAAAAAAAAGCAAATTTTCATGAGAAAGAATCTAATGTAGATGTTAATAAAGCTTCTAATTCAAATATGATGGAGATAGATGCAAATGCAACAAATGCACTTCAAACATTTGCAACATCAACAAATGCATCTATTATTAATACAAAAGAACCAATTTCACCTCATTCTATTGAAGACTCATCAAACACATTTAATGATAATGGAAATTCAGGTTCAAATGTGGAGGACAACAAGATGACACAAGAGTGGGTAGTTGTCAATAAATACACAAATTTTCGAGCAGCAATTTTAATCGATCAAATACCAAGTAAAAATAATATTAATAAAAAAAAATTTGTTGAAAAATTTTTGATCAATTATAAAGGGTTTGTGGGTCTCTACATTACCAGATTTGGCAAACAAAGGAAATTTGTTGCTAACTTCGATAATGAAGAGGATCTTAATAACCTTGTTGTCACAGACTTACCTGATTATGAAGGTATCCGTTTCTCTAAAGAACTTGCACCAGTTGGAAACATTAATAAAGAAAATTCAATAAGAGTTAAGAATATTCCACTTAATACAAGTTCAACTTTAGTACATGCTACTTTTGAAAAATATGGAAAAATTATTAAATTCTCTATGCAAACCAAAGACTTATGGCAAGAAGCCATAATTTATTTTGAAAAAAAGGAAGATATTTTACCATTTCATAATGAAACATGGGCAGTCTTTATTCTAAAAGATATGGTTAGAGTAGAACCATTAAGCATGAATGAAAAACAATATGAAAAAAGACATTTACATGCCCTCAAACTTGGTCACCTCCCTTTTGGAACTACAGCAAGAGATCTTGTTGAAATAATCAATGCAACAAAAGCAAAGGCAATTTTCATACCTAAAACACGCAAATCATATGTCAACTGCAGATATGGATGGTTTTTCTTTGATTCTGATGAAGCAGCACATGATGCACAAATTAATTGGTATACTCTCAATAATACTGAATTATTTTGGGCATCAGAAGATACTGCACTCTGTAGAAAATGTGGACATCCTGATCACACTATTACAGGTTGTCAGGAAATTCAACGGGCAAAACAAAAAAAAATCAATATATCCAAATTGCAACCTTTGTACAACAAATATAAACCTGCTCAACATCGTAAACCACAAACACACCCACCTGCAAATAAATCAAAAGGATTATCATTTGCAGATGTTGTAAAAAACAGTATTAGGACATCTCTTGATGATTCCATTCATGCTGAAAAAATAGGTAACAAAACAGAAGATGTTTTAAAAAAACTTATGGAAAAAGTTGAAGATATATCAACCAAACTGAATCATCTTACTCAGAATATTCAGGAAATCAATATCAGAATTAAAGTACTTGAGGATAAAGACAGTACTAAACCTAAACAAGGAAATACAGATCCTTATATAACTGTATGCACTCCCATCTTGAAAAAACCCACATACAAACCTGGAATTTCTAATTCTCACAAGAGATCTAGAGAATCATTTACATCTTCATCTGAAGAAAGCCAAGCTTCAACAACCAAAATTAACAAAAACACTGATGAAAGTCAATTAATTGTTAAACAACAGGAAGAACTAAATAAAAATGCAAAAAATCTTTCTCAAGACATGGCTGACATCAAAAATATGATTGGCAATATTTCATCCAAATTCATTAATAAATCTAATAATGATGAGGATGATGTAAGTTTTTAAACAATTGGTTATACCATCTCGTAAATCTAAAATAATTTAATAATGAATATAAACAACAAAAACAATAATCAATTTAATATTAATAATGATAATAACGAAAATTCAATGAATAATATTTCAAACCCACATACAAATAATGTTCCTATATTTACATCACAACTTATTCGAATTGGAACACAAAAAATCCGAGGAATAAATGACTCACATCTACAAACTATAGTCAAAACACTATGCAAAGATAACCAAATGGACATAATTGGTATATCTGAAACCAAACTCAACCGTAACAACTCTAAACATTGTATGAGAAAATGTAATACATTTCAATCTTTTTGGAGCTCACACCCTGACCAGCCTAACTCAGCTGGTGTAGGTCTTCTTATTTCAAAATCATTAGCTAGACATATAGTAAAAATTGAAAAATATCAAGGACGCATAATATATGCTGACTTATATTTTAAAGGAAAGAAAAAATTACGAATTATTCAGGTTTATATCAATTCTAATACCAACAAAAAACAAGAAAGAATTACAACTTCAAAACAAGTAATTAAATATTGTCAAGAGGCATTAAACAAAAATTTTTTTACAATTGTAATGGGTGACTTCAATGCAGACCCTGAAATTTTTCATAATTTGCAGATTAATAATCATACTATACCTTACACATATAATCTGATTTCAACATTACAAACTTTAAATTTTATAGACAGTCTTAAAATCACAAATCCAAACTCACCTCAATACACATGGTCTAATAATAACTCAAAATCACGTATAGATCAAATTTGGATTTTGCATAATTTTGCTCATGATCTTGCTCGCACAAAAACTGTTGATTATACATCAATTTTTTCAACAGACCATAAATTAATATGGTGTGATTTAATAACTTCTAATTTCTACAAACATCGTTCCGATAATAATGAACGTAAATTAGACAACAAAAAGAAAATTTATAAATTTGAGAAAATGACAAATGAAAAATGGCAAAATTTTGCATCACTTACTGATAAGAATTTAGAAAGACATTGGGATTATAACCAGTGTATAAATAATTTTCAACCTACATGTTCTTGGTTAAATAGATCATGGACCATACTACAGCAAATAATTATCCAAACTGCTGACAAAGAAATACCATTTGATAAAATTAGCAGGAAAGATAGTAATAAAAGATCCAAAGATACTTTGATATTACATAAATCCCTTAAATCATTTGGTCGTTTACTTCAACAATTTCTTCAAATCAAAAATCTTGTAAATATAAATCAGTGCAATACCATGTGGAATGATATAAAAAAGAACATTACCAAGATTACTCAAAACCTTGAAATACCTTTAGAAAACCTACCTGATACTTTATATGATAATGTATATGAACAAACATATAAATATTTAATATCTATCTTCAACACCATTAAATCACAGAAGAAAATAGAAGACAAGATTGAAATTGAAAAGCAAATTAAATTTTTCACGAAAAAAAGATGTGAACATTATACATCAAATCAAAAAGTCATGATTAACAGTATTTTAGAACGTGAAAAACAATCTATTAGAATTAATCGTTGCGTAATTAACAAAGATGGTGAAGATGAAATTCTCCTCTTACCTGATGATGTTAAAAAAGCAACTAAAAATCATTTTAGCAGTATTTCAAATAATAATCATACTACACCTAATACATTACCATCTCCATGGTTTAATCAATATAAATCAATCAAACAAATTGATCCCATATGGTATTCAAATTTAATGAACCCTTTAACATTAGTTGAATGGTATTCTATTATAAATACACTCCCAAATGGAAAAGCAAGTGGGCCTTCAGGCATTACAAATGAAATGCTCAAGCACATAGGAAAAACAACTCAACAATTTCTTCTGAAAATAATAAATCAATGTATTACCATCAATGACATACCAGATGCATGGAGAGAGGCAACTGTTTATCCAATACCAAAACCACTGGATTGGGAATTACAATTGAATAATACACGACCAATTACATTACTGGAGACACCAAGAAAAGCATTAGTGAAAATTATAAATAATAGAATATCAGAAATAGTAATGAAGCATAATATTTTAAAAGGATGTAACTTTGCAGGACTTCCTGGAAAATCCACACATGAGCCAATACATATTCTCAATATGTTGATGGAAGATGCTCGTGAGAACAATAAAGAAATGTGGGTTTTATTTCAAGATATGAGCAAAGCATATGATCTGGTTAATAGAGATATGTTACAACTTGCTCTTAAAAGAATTGCACTACCTAATTCATTCTGCAAATTCATCCATAACATTTTTAACAAAAGAGTAAATAGAGTTGTTACAGAATTTGGACTCACTGATCAATACACTATCAACAATGGCATTGATCAAGGTGAAGTAATTTCACCTCTCATGTGGTGTATATACTATGATCCTTTACTCTGCGAGATTCAAAATCAAAAATCACTTGGATATCAAATAGAAGTTGAATGGAAACAAGACCTTCGATATAATGAAACCACCAAACTTTCTGAAACAATATCAAGTCTTGCATATATGGATGACACAACTTGGTTTGCACCATCCAAAGATAATATGGAACTAATTCTAGAAATTGCAGATTCATTCTATGATCTAAATGGCATTAAAGTAAATAAAAAGAAATCAGAACTTTTAGTTATAAATTCACCTACACCAATTCCTTCAACTTCCATTATTTTTGGAAAAGATTGTACAGAGGTTTTTGCAAAGCCAATCAACACATCTATTAGATTTCTAGGTGTATGGGTTAATGCAAAAGGGTCAACTAGACATGTTAAAAATTCTGTGCATGATGAAATTATCAATATGGAATCAATTATGAAACATAAACACCTTACTGATAAACAAATCTTATATATTTTCAATTGTGTAATGATTCCTAGATTAGAATATCGTCTACAACTTACATTGCTGTCTGAAAATGAATGTAAAATTTTAGGAGCAAAATGTAGAAAATTATTCAAACAAAAGGTTGGCCTTGCATCTACTGTTCCTAATGCAGTTACTAATACACATACAATATATAATCTTTGTGATTTATGGGATTGTCAAGTACAACATCACATAACCAACCTGTGTGTTCGCCTAAATGACAATGGAATTATGGGTAAAATTTCTAAAATCAAATTACATCAATTACAACTCAATTTGTGTTTGCCTAAAAGTCCATTGGAGTCTTGGAATTATTCAGTTTCTCATCTTCGTTTATTTAAAAATAATCTTATGGCTGGCATCTTATGCATAGCAAAATTTTTCAAATTCTCACTTAGAACAACATATGATTCTGAGTCTTTCATAATTAAAGGTGGACAAATTTTACTACAAGATATTTTTGCTGAAAAATATACATCATTTGTAAATGCACTGGCTAAAAAACAAGTATTATATCTTGATCAAATCCTCTGTTGTGAAGGTACACATTTACTTTCTTGGAAACAAGCAGTCTTACGTTTAAAAATTAATATACGTGGTCGAAAACCAAAATGGTTTTCATCATTAGAAGAATCTATCCTACATCACTCATCTCGTGAAGTTCTAGATCAATGGAAACTACCTAGATGCAACTCATTCCCTATACAATATTCACTTAATTTTCCAAAAGACTCTAGAATCAGGCCTTTCATTGCAACCTACCAATTTGAAGAAATAACTTTTGGTAAGACATATGAACTAGCTTCACCAAAAAACAACAATCAACTTATCATCACTCATTGGAAATCAAATACCAACATATTAGAAAACAATCATGATAGTTTTCAACTAAGTCAATGTAAAGGATGTGAACTAAACAACCTTATAAATAATCCAAATAGAATTGGTTGTTTATACAATAAACCACAGAAAGAATGTATTGTCATACCAGCCAAGAAATGTATTTCTTCTGGATCCAATATCATCACCATAACATTTCCTAGATGCGAAATCATAAAGGCTTTAGAATACAACTTTGATAAATTCAATAATAATAATATTATTATTATTCCAATATGTCCAACAATATATATTGAAGATAACAGACTAACATGGATAAAGAATATTATAAATGAACCAATATCATTACAATTATTCAATATTCACATGATAAATAATTGCATTAATCAATTAGAATTTTGGACTGATGGATCCCTAAAAAATCCTAGCTCTCCTGATATTAAATTAGGTTATGGTTGGATCCAAGTTGATAAGAATAAAAAAATTACTAACTCTTTTTCAGGTGCGCTGTCACAATGGCCATCATCAACACGTGCAGAAATCTTTTCTCTACTTACAGCAATTCTAACATGTCCAGCAAATAGTATTATAAATATATACTTAGATTCACAAGCTACTATTGATGGTTTTAACAATTGGAAACAAAAATCAAAAACCATTAGATCCTACCTTAAAATTAATAATTTTTCTTTATGGGAAATCATTTATTCAACAATGGAAAAATATAATTTAATAGTAAATTTAACAAAAGTTAAAGCTCACTCCAATAAATATCCTCTCAATGACACAGCTGACTCACTAGCCAAATTGGGATGTAGCAATAATCAAATCACAAAAATAAATATCAATAACATAACTAAAAAATATGTTACATTATATTGGAAGGAGTTTCTAATAGATTACCATTGTAGAAATTTCATCAAACAAATATGCAAAGCAAAGCGATTAAATTCTTGGATATCTCTAAATCGGTTTCAACCATTTTTCACTGAGGAAGAAATACAAAAAATAGAGTGGAGGTGCACATGGTTATCTTTAAGAACCAGTTTCCCTTCCTCTACATCTTTCAAAGACAGTAGATGGAAAGCCTTCAAAATCAAACTATTACATAATGAACTACCAGTATTAGAAATTTTAAAGAAATGTAGATCTGATTTATATGGGAATTTTACAAATTGTCCTAGGTGTAATTTAGCTCCAGAAGATTATGATCATTTATGGTACTGCAAGAATTCAAAAGATGCAGTTAAAACAATTAACAAAAAAATAATTGAATTCATTCAATCACTTTTGGATAATAACCATAACCATAACAATAATAATATCAATCATATAGATAGACAAACAATAATGTGTGAAATATTTCCTTATTTCAACAACCCTACATCTTGTATACTTTTTATGAAAAATTTCACAAGAGGCTTAATTTCAAGAAGCATAATACATAGTTTTACATGTATCATAAACTCAAAATCCAAGGGGAGGAAAGCAGCTCTGGATTTGTTAAATATAGTCCAGGAAGCTTTCTTTGAAAAAATTTGGAAGCCTAGGTGTGAGGAAATCATTGAATGGGAACATTCAATTGGGATAACAGTTAAAAAAAAGAAAAATTACACAGTGTATCATAAACTCAAAATCCAAGGGGAGGAAAGCAGCTCTGGATTTGTTAAATATAGTCCAGGAAGCTTTCTTTGAAAAAATTTGGAAGCCTAGGTGTGAGGAAATCATTGAATGGGAACATTCAATTGGGATAACAGTTAAAAAAAAGAAAAATTACACAGAAAAATGTTCTCAAGCCACTTCATCCAATTCTCAGAATGCTATACATTCTGACAAATGGGAAGAGTGGTGTCAGAATTTCATAATTTTTGGTGCTAAGTGGGAAAATTTTTGCCTTTAGCATGCTATCTTTTGTAGAATTTTTTAGATAAATTTATTCAAATATGTCTAATTAATTTTTTTTTTTAAAGGTGGCAGGTTAGCTTTAAATTAACAATAGGTTAATTGGGGTAGGATTACGTGTAAAAATTTGTAAATTTTTAATAATGCATTAAATTTTAAATAAATAAACGTGATTTCAAGGCCTCACTTTAGCAAAAAAAAAAAATAAAAATAAAAATGATAGTATTTTTTTTTATCATGTTTGAAATTTTTGTGAATTGCACAAACTTCATATAATAAAAATATTAATTTACTTATGAATATTTTATATAATGAATATAATACACACAAAAGTTTTTCAATTACATTCATACTAGACCATAACCTTTTAAAGTTGTGAATTAAAAAATTGTGGATAACTCAAAAAAAAAGGTTTATACTTTAAATTAATTCCATAAAATATATAGAATTATTGCAAATAAATAAATAAATAATGTAATTTTTATCATTTTTGCAAGATTTGAACATCACTTTCAGATAATTTATATCACTCACGAATTACGTTTTGCATCACGAATTGAGTCTTGCGTCACGAATTGCATCTGTGTCCTACATCTGCATCAATGCGTCTCACACTAAACTAATTGCGTCACACAACTTTTAATTTTGATGACATGTATAATTATCAACAGGGTTGGGATTCGTACTCGTACACGTACACGTATCGTACAAGTACGTACGAGCTTAAAATTTTTTAGTACATTGTACGAACATATCATGTGATTTATGACAATTTTTATTGGTTGATAAATGTAATACACATTATATATATATATATATATATATATATCGTCAAAAAAAAAATTCATAAATTGAAAATTAAAAAGGACAATGTATATCGTTTTTTAATATAACTTCCAATTTCCATTTCCCATCGGAGCTTGTTGCTGGATGATCAATACTTTGAACATCTAAGTTATAAAATTCATCATCTTCAATGTTTATAAGCTCATTTAGAGATTCATTTTCTTCTTCTTGAAGAATTTCTATCCACTCACCCAAATTATTATTAAACTGTGCAATTACATCTTCTTCTAAACTATTATTATCCTGTTCATCATTTTGTTCACCCAAATAACTTTCTTCATTTAAGTTAGTATTTACATTTGAAGATTCGGCTTCCAATATCATTTCTCTTTCAATGCTATTCTGTTCTTCTAAATTTATTTCTTTATTTGATAAAGAAAGTTCTTGTTGAAGAAGTCGATTATATGTAATGCCAGCCTTCAATTTTGCCATTTCTAAGACTCTAGTGAACTACATATAGTAAAAGAAATAGTCAAATTTTAAAAAGAAAATAATTTACTATATTAATGTAAATAAAACTATATTTTTACCTCCAATCTATTTTGATTTTTTGAATGAAAAAATCCCATGCTACTCCACAGTCGTTCTACTGAAGCTGCATTAATAAACAGGAGGGAACGTCCTATATAAGGAATGGATTTTCACAATTGATTTCAATTTTTTTTATACAGTTTAAAATACT